AAATGCCCATTCTATGCACCGTCGAATCAACGTCAGAAATGCGAAAAAGTAAGAACCCCTTTAGAGCGGGTTTTTGCACCACCCTGTACATCAGTAGCGAATAAACGCACTTTCTGGAACAAGTTTTGTGCGAAATGTCACGGGGAAGAAGATGCCGATCTCGAGTGCTGGAGGATCTCGCTCAGCGAATATTGTAACACCTCGGTATTTTATGTACCAACAATGGAAGAGGTGCTTCAAATCGTACAGAAAGATTTAACTTGTCTGATGATGTCGACTCCTCATCATGTAGATGTTAAACAAGTATCTCTAGATAATCATGTGAATGATTGTAGAGATAGTTTTAACGAGCGGGATGTTATGAAAGCATGTATGTCAATGTATAATTTAAAGTACAGAAATTATAAGAATATTTTCTGTGCCATATGCAATCCATTCGAAGAGATTGATGAAAAAACCGTTATTTCTACGTGCAATGTACAGTCTCTAAAATTATTAGGTATGTCTAAGAAGGAAATCTACGCACTTGAAAATCGTTGTAACATTTCCGGAATTTACGCGCTAACTTACCCGTATAAAAATGTGTTTTGTTATCTGTGTAATATGCGTGTTTCACAGCACACGCGCTACAATGCGGACGTCGTTTACTACTCCGACATGAAGACAGTAGCGAGAGAGACCATACTTATAAACGAAATTAATAAATATATCATTTATATTCAAAAAATGAAGCTTAATGGATATGACTGGATAAAGGATTATATCAATAATGCTGTCATAAGAAGTAATCTGAATTTCTATATACAAACGGACAATGTTGTGTCTCTAAACATTACCCGACTTGAGAGGTTGTATACGGCTTCACATTCAGGCTGTCAGACAAGAAGTAGGGGAATGATAAAAGATTTGCGGGACCTCCGACCATGTCAAAATGACGCTCGATGTTTATTTCAAAGACCTGATTTATGCTGTTTTGAGACGCTTCTAAAGACTACCGTCAGCTGTTATACACACGGGGACGGAGAATAAACGGTATCTTGTTATCAATGATTGTTATAACGAGGAAATCCTTCGGAAAGAACAGTTTCTGTATTTCTCTATGAAATATTTGTGCAAAAATGAGGTTGATTTTCCAATCGAATTAAATAAAAAGTCATACAGAAACATATATTGCTTGTTATGCAACGAGGATATAACGAACCTTCAGTTAGCTCATCCTTGGTCCGCTTCTTTAGAGTGCCCTACAGAAATCCCGCTTCTATACTTTGTTGATGGATTGCCGAATTTATTGAAAGAAGCAAGACGTCACAGATGCCATGTCGTATTTGATACCTCACAGGCATATGAATGTTTGCACACCTTCAGTCCATGTACTTACCACGGTGACCATGATGTCGTCACAGCTTGCGAACGAATGGGGATACAGTATTTTGATCAGGGATTGGACTTCTGTGAAAGTTGCAGACAACAGCCCATAAGCGGAACTCGAATTTTTAATTGCTCATTAGATAGTATTTATTACGAAGAGAAACTACGGCGTAATTGTGATGAATTTCCGGAAGTAAACAACTACAAGCTTGGACAATACAAAAACCGCTTTTGTCTGGAATGTAATGCAATGGTGGATTCTCCAAAGCCGTGTACACCAGCAAAAAGGGGATCTAATTACATAGAAATCCTTACACCTGGAATGAATTTTCGTCCACTTCTGTTAAAACTGTCTTCAACGTCAACAATTTGGACTTTGGTGAGTAAGGGTTTTTTAATAACTTTGAAGAAAAGACAGGTTTTATAAATTTATGTAAAATCCATTACTGTAATTGAGGTGTAGGGATATGTATCTTAATAATTATGTTTGTTTGTACGTGTACCTTATATTGTCTTATGAAACATATCAGTAGCCTTTTCCGCTATTAAGGAGATAGTAACGTTGTTTCCTCAGCCAACGATTTATGGCTAAGGAACTGTTCAATATGTTTGAGACGAAATATGAACATTTTGTTTAGTATTGATATAAAATAAAAAGCCTCATAAATAATGGTGCTGAATATTAACTGAATTCATGTATGTATTGAGCAGTTTTAAATTTTTATTTTTAGCTAGATATGATTTGATAGAAACAACTCTTACATTTTTCATCTGAAACAAGACTTTGTTTTTCATTTTCTGATATTTGGTGGGTTTTTTTATATACAGTCGGATGCCGCTATTTGTTACCCAGGTCGGATCTGGTCGGGAGGGAGCTGCAAACCCCTTTTGGACCACGTGACTAGGGGTGAGTACGTCTGGTACGGGATGCTTCTGATACTGGTGGAAGGCGCCATCGAAAACAACACTTCGGATCATTTGATGGAAATTAAAGAACAAATTGATGTACATCTATATAAGTCTTTACGGATCAGGCCTTCAAATTTAACATTAACTCCATTCGCAATAGAAAATAGTCTAAAAGATAAATATTTAATCAAAGCAATGCTGTTTATTAAGTATGATGGCTGGAATATCTTTAGAGATAATTATGAAAGAAAACTTTGTAATATAAAGAAATTCCTTGTGGAATTTGAAGGACAAAAGTCTCTGTTATGGAAGAAACTTAGTATAGTAAATATACTTGATCTACCACAAATGTCATTGGACGCTCTAAGTATTACGTATTTACCAAGTGTTTTTCGTTATTTTGAGGAAATGAAAAAATTATATGAACAGATTTCACCACCTGTTAACTTTGTATCTAAGCTGTTATTCTGTGAGCATAAAGTTATAAAAGGAAACTATCAATATGACGAAAAATCAATGTCGATTAAACTTCAAAGTGGCCTATCTATTCCATTGGGACAATTTATAAGGTGGAATGGTCATATCCAGGTCTGTAAGTTTAGTGTCTTCCAGAGTTCAATAAACAGAAATAAATCCATTTATCAATCAAGTAGTAACCTTACTAATGTGTCTGTCATAATAAGCTACCTGTCCCTGGGGATGTTGACGTCCTCGTTCCTGGTACATACACTAATTATTCTGTCACGGAAATCTCAATCTCTTTCACTACCTTACCTTTGTCGACTTACATTTTTCCTGATTGCAGATTTAGTTGTTTGTACTTTAAGTGAACAATTCGTTCCATCTGGGACAGTTTGTTGTGTCTACGGTGTGCTTCATCATTATTTTACTCTTTTGGTCGCTTTATCCCTATACTTCTATGGTAGATCTATAATCTTTGAATATGAAACAACGAATAAGAGTGACAATTCCAGTACTCTTTACTATAAAGTTATTATTATAGTGCCTTTATTTATTATTATATCAAACTCCATTTTTATGAAAGTTGTTATGAAGGACTTCGGATACTGTATAAATACACACGTGTGTTATCTTCATGTAATACCCTCCCTTATACTGTCTACTTACCTTCCTGTTTTACTGATAGTAATCGGGCTCGTTGTACTTTATATTCAGTATACCCGGAACAACTCTAGCGTAAACAGGATTCATTATTTTTTGTTCTTCTCACTTGTAATCTTTCTGATGACAGGTTGGATTTTTGAAGCGCTCATCACGTTGAAGTACTTAAATATCATTTGGTTGAAATCTGTGGCTTTTCTGCTACAGTCTATTATGAATTTCATATTAATGTGCTACACACACAAAACATTCGGGTTATGATTAGGTAATTAGTGACGGATAAATCTCGATTGAACATTTTTACGGAAGAAATGTTTCCTTCCAAATGTGTTTCATCCATATAACCATGGTACATCATATACATATTTTTTCTATCCTTAAAAGGACACATTTAAACTGTAACAATAAAAACAAATTAACAAGCAAGAATATTATTTAAATGTCTTTGCTGATTGATCAAAACTATCTCGTATTTTTAGAAAAGATAATTTTTACAAAATTGGAGTCTATGATCTAAATTTTAAGATATTACTCAAAAGGGCTAATTTTCAAATACGGTTGGCTCAATCTTTTCCTTGACTATCAGAATATATTTTCTTAATTTTACACAATATGATAATGAAATTCATAGTAATTAAATTAAAAGATTTTCAAAACCAGCATCAAACTGTGGTATTACTTGCAAAAAGTGTTGTGTTCAACCCGTATGGTCAGATACATGTAGGATTCTAAACATAACTGAAAAACAATTTATCTTTCGTTTTCATTTTCATCTATTTTATAACAAAACTTATTTACCCTTTTTACAAAAGATTTACTTTTTTCGACAAATTGTGTTTACTTAGTAGAATAAGACTTAATATGATGATTGTTTGATCTAAGGCACTAATTTTACATTTTTCTTTGTTAATATTTCTTTTTACATGTAAAATAGACGAAACATACATGTATTCACCCCCAATCCTCCCAGTTCTTATCTTCTTGTAAAAATTGGATGCCGAGTAATGGAAACATTATAATTTATGTACATGTATCTTGGAAAAGTATTTAACGGATTACATCCAGTTTGTATTTGCTACTGCTCCAATTCATTAAGTCTGTCATAATACCTTTGAATGTGTAGTTATAATTACGTTTCATGTAATATATCTGTTATTTTATACGGTATGTGATTGTATTTTTTACGTTTTGTTCAAAGTAAAATTCAAATTAAAATTGTTTGATTGTGAATGTTTTGACTGCAAGATCACAATCGCAATGAAACTTTCAGTATACCTTGTATAATTAATATGGGTAAAAATGATTATTTATAAAAGGATTTTTTTTAAATATTATGCATACGATGTTTCATTTTGGCTCAAAGATATCATTTTATGTAAAACTAATAATCGGGTATAATATTACAATATTGTGAGAGAGGAAAATTTATATATATATAAGGAAGAAAGGAGAAAAGTGAACGCTGCATGTCAGGGCTTGTATAATAACGGGACAATAATATGCAACAACGCCCAGGATCAGTTGTTTCAAACCACAAAAAATATCATTGTTAGTAGATAAGGAAGAACACAGATAGATATATTTATTTATTAAACGTTTATGGGTGTTTAACCGAAAGTTTGCACCACGAATGCTTAAAATTCTACGGAACATTTACAAAATAACTGTGGCCATATAGAAATCTATTTTAAACTAATAATAAAACAAAAGTTCATAGAAACAGTAACATGTAAGTACAAGTATAATTTTCAGTAAGTATTATAAGCAGTAGCTGTAGAAAAGGTTTTAACCATTAGCTTAACAGCTTATGAATTTATGTAATAGCAGATAGTAAACGAGTTTTTATTGTAAAATGAGAACAGTTTTCAGCAATGAGGAATGTTGCACTTGCTCCAGCGGACGTTTGGATTAACTGTATAACACCAGGGGGCGCTCTCTCCATCCGGGTTCCTACAGTAGTTGAACTGGTCGGCGAGATTTCCGAAGCTATGGGCGGTAGGTGTGTTACTGGCCCAGGCCTGACACAGGTCTCCAGTATCAGCAACGTTATGTGTTCCAAAGTAACGTAACCCTGAGGGATCTGAGCTGGTGAGGCATTCAGGTGCTGGTATCACTATAAAAGAGTTATCTTAATAACTCAGCAGAGAATAAAAATACTCATTTGTTTTCATTCTGAATGTTCTGGAAAAATAAAATGAAATATTTTTTTAGCTCTACTGGTCAGAGACCAGAAGAGCTTATGCGATAGTAAGGTGTCCGTCGTCCGTCCGTCTGTACAATTTTTCAAAACGCTACTCCTCCTACAGTTTTGGTCTGATTTTAATATAACTTGGCACACAAGTAGACTACACTGTGCATTTGTTTCGGAACGGTTTTTTCTTAGAATTTTCTGTGAAATTCCTATAAAACTCTACTCCTCCTACAGTTTTCATCTGATTTCAATATAACTTGGCACACAATTAGACTGATAAAAATAAATTTCGATTTTATTTACCAAAAATAAAATTTTCTGTTTCCTTTAAAATTACTTACAGTTTTCATTTGATTTCAATATAACTTGACACAAGTAGACTACACTAAGATACATAAAATAGTGCATCGGTTTTTGATTTCGAAAAGGTGTTGCCATAGTTACTAAAAATAGAATTTTCTGTGAAATTCCTTGAAAACGCTACTCCTCCTACACTTTTGGTCTGATTTCAATATAACTTGGCACATAAGCAGACTACACTAAAATACATAAAATAGTTCATCGGTTTTTGATTTTGATGAAAGGTGTTGCCATGGTTACTAAAAATAGAAATTTCTGTGAAATTCCTTTAAAACGCTACTCCTCCTACAGTTTTAGTCTGATATTAATATTAACACAAGTATACTACACTGAATATATTTCGATGAACGGTGTTGCCATGGTTAGAATTTTCTGTGAAATTCCTTTAAAACGCTACTCCTTCTACAGTTATGGTCTGATTTCAGTATTACTTGGCACACAAGAAGACTACACTAAGATACATAAACTAGCGCATCAGTTTTTGATTTCTGAACAGTTTTGAACTAAAAATAGAAATGTCTGTGAAATTCCTGATGGCAATGGCTTCTTTTCTCATCCTTTGTCATAAGTACAAACCAGTAGAGCTACAGTCTCGACAGAGACTTCTGGTTTAATTATAGAATTCTAATTATTAGAATTCCTGTTTCGTGGGTTTTTTCTTAAGTACCTCTTAGATACTCGTTTGAAAATAAAGTTTTATTTAAAGTTTTTTATTAATAAAGAGGGATAAAAATTATGTAAAATATTTTTAGGTCTTATTTATTAAAAATATATCAAGAAGATTCTTATTTACCGCAATCTGGAATATCGCAGAGCTCCCACCGTTTGTTGGGGTCAGTTGTGTAACACCAGGGGGCGCCCTCACCGTCCGGGTTCCGGCAGTAGTTCTCTGGGAGGTTGGAGGATGAGTGGGTGTGGGGGGACTGGGACGCCCAGGCTTGACAAGATCTCCCCGACACCGTCACATTAATCCTCCCCAAGTACTCCCAGCCCGTAGTGGTTCTCTTACACTCGGGCTCCTGTCGCTCATCTGAAATATTGGGTTTTTTTTTTGTAAAAACATAGTGACTTAAAAAAAAACAAATATTTGTGACCGTACGTACATCTGTTAAGCTATTGTTGTTTTAACTTGTGAGTATATATTAATTACAAGAATTATTACAAATCTTGTATTAAGTGATGAATTAATAATCCCTTAGTATTTGTCCTGCAATCTTTAAAGACAGTTGAGATACACCCAAGTGCAAAATTATAATCCTTATTACAGGTTTAACTTTCAATAATTGTTCTTATAGTAGAAAAAGGAATGAATGAATACAAAACTAAAAATTGTTTTAATTTATATAATTCATTTCATATTTATCGGAAGTATGTACTTTTTTCTTATATGTTAAGATTATAATTATAAATAATTGAATTTTGAAATCTATTTTTAAAGTTTATTTTATTTTAAAAAATGTGTAAGTTGTTATTACATGCATTTACATTCACAATATGCAAAAGCAAACGAATAATGTTTTTTTTTGGTGTTTTCATTTTCAAAAAAATTGATTTATTGAATAAATTTATTGATATTTAGCACCTTTCAGACACACATGAACTTTGTATATAAAATTAAGGGCAATGTGAACATATTATACAAACATTTTCCGGACTTGTTTTCATATGTATACTATTAACGAAAAAATTAAGTTGTTTATAACCATAACCAGAACACCTAACCTAGAAAATTCATTGTTCATGTAGATTTACATTGAAACTGGTTTCTCAAAAAGAGGGAAATAAAGGTTTTAGATGCTAAGGTATATGGTTTTCGTTATTGTTATTTTGTATGTATATTGATTAATAAGATAATGTTTTACCCTCTACTTCACAGTTATTTCCCTTGAATCCATTAAGACAGGTACACGTGTATGAAGTCCCCGCCACTTCACACTGTCCTTTGTTTTTACATGGATTTGGAAAACAAGGCGAGTCAGCTGGAATCATTGAAGAAAAAAAGTGTATGAAACACATTTTAAAAGATTTTTCTTGGTATTGTTTTGATAGGAAAAAAAATAATTTAAAACTCAAAATAAATATAATAGGAAAGGTGGTAAGATTTTTTTTTTCAAATTATTTTCCTAACCTCAGGACGGGTTTTTACAGTACTCAGTTTCCTATAGAAAGTAATGACTATCTTCTTGCACACGACAGTTATATACTTTTAGTGAACTAGAGATAATAGTTTTTTTTAATATGTTATTTTTATTTACCACAGGATGGTATGTTACAGTACTCCTTGGTGGGACCTGTGTCTCCCTGCACGTGACACCAAGGCTTGGAAGAAGAATCAGGGTTTCTACAGTAGTTAGCATCATCAATCATTGTCTCTATAATCAAAAGAAATGATTCAGTTATTTTCTAGAAGATTTTAATATTTCGAATTTATACTTTTCTTTCAATAAAATTTGATAACAAGAGGACCATGGGCCACATCGCTCACCTGAGAAGCTTTGACCATTCTGTTCTTTACCAGATTTCCTCCTTGTAATACATAATGCATCCAACCCTACCCCACTGATCATAATTTAGACATTTTGAAATCTACACTACCCCAGGATCCTTCCATGTGCTTCCACATAAGTTTCAGCTTTTCTGGCCCAGTGGTTCTTGAGAAGAAGATTTTCAAAGATTTTTCCTATATATTTCTATGTAAAACTTTGATTCCCCATTGTGGCCCGCCCTTCCCCGGGGGGTCATGATTTGAACAATTTAGAATCTACACAACCCAAGGATGCTTCCACATAAGTTTCAGCTTTTCTGGCCCAGTGGTTCTTGAGAAAAAGATTTTCAAAGATTTTTCCTAAATATTTCAATGTAAAACTTTGATTCCCCATTGTAGCCCCAACCCTTCCCCCGGGGGTCATGATTTGAACAATTTAGAATCTACACTACCCCAGAATGCTTCCACATAAGTTTCAGCTTTTCTGGCCCAGTGGTTCTTGAGAAGAAGATTTTCAAAGATTTTTCCTATATATTTCTATGTAAAACTTTGATTCCCCATTGTGGCCCCGCCCTTCCCCCGGGGGTCATGATTTGAACAATTTAGAATCTACACACTACCCAAGGATGTTTCCACATAAGTTTCAGCTTTTCTGGCTCAGTGGTTCTTGAGAAGAAGATTTTCAAAGATTTTTCCTATATATTTCTATGTATATTTCTATGTAAAACTTTGATTCCCCACTGTGGCCCCGCCCTTCCCCCGGGGGTCATGATTTAAACAATTTAGAATCTACACTACCCCAGGATGCTTCCACATAAGTTTCAGCTTTTCTGGCCCAGTGGTTCTTGAGAAGAAGATTTTCAAAGATTTTTCCTATATATTTCTATGTAAAACTTTGATTCCCCATTGTGGCCCCGCCCTTCCCCCAGGGGTCATGATTTGAACAATTTAGAATCTACACACTACCCCAGGATGCTTTCACATAAGTTTCAGCCTTTCTGGCCCAGTGGTTCTTGAGAAGAAGATTTTCAAAGATTTTTCCTATATATTTCTATGTAAAACTTTGATTCCCCACTGTGGCCCCGCCCTACCCCCGGGGGTCATGATTTGAACAATTTAGAATCCACACTACCCAAGGATGCTTCCACATAAGTTTCAGCTTTTCTGGCCCAGTGGTTCTTTAGAAGAAGATTTTTTAATGACCCCACCCTATTTTTGTCTTTTCTTGATTATCTCCCCTTGTGAGGGGACTTGGCCCTTTGTATTAACAATTTAAATTCCCCTTAACCCAAGGATGCTTTGTACCAAGTTTGGTCAAAATTGGCCTAGTGGTTCTTGAGAAGAAGTCGATAATGTGAAAAGTTTACAGACGGACAGACAGACGGACGGACAGACAGACAGACGGACAGACGACGGACAAAATGTGATCAGAAAAGCTCACTTGAGCCTTCGGCTCAGGTGAGCTAAAAAGTTATTGTATGAAAATATCAAATATATCCGTTGCAAGAAGAAAAAAACTGATGCTTTGGTCATTTATTCAAGTCTCTATCGTAAAAAAAACCCATTCCACAGCATTAATATATTACACATTTAAAACGTGTTACTGGATAAACTTAACTTTGGAACGACTTAAACGCACACGCTTGTCTTCAATATTCCATATATCATACTTGTTTAGGGATTCACAATCAAACAAGTTTACAGAAGTTCATCAAATTAATGCTTGTCAAGGTTTTCACTAGTAATCAACACTCACCATCTGTCCAGGGTAGACAGGTTTTTCCCGAGCTCGATACACTCACTTTACCGACATAATCCAGACCTCTCCCAGTCATAAGACAATCCCTCTCTACTTTCTCTGCAAAAAAGCACTAATTATTTCAGTAGCAGTATCCAAAAATTTCAGTCATAAAGGGATTCCTGGATAAAATATGTCACTCTAGCTGTATGTTTGATTTTAAATTATACACAAATGGCATTATACATGTAAAGGAACATAATTATCTTAATCTTAATTATACTACATAACACCATAACAACGATTTTCTGATATCTACAGCAATGTTTTTTTCCAAATTACTTGAATCCCTTTAGGCAATGATTTACCTAATCACATATTTATCTTACCACACAGGGGGACCTGGCACTCCCAATGATTTACCTATATACATTTTTGTCTTACCACAACGCGGGACCTCGCACTCCTGCCAGCGAACGTGAGGATCCTGAGTATAACACCAAGGCTGAGGGCTGTTGTCTGTGTTCCTACAGTAGTTCTCATCCTTATCTAGCTTGTTGTAGTCGTGAGGGTGAGGGGTCTGGGAGTCCCACCTCTGACAGGGGTAGCCTGACTTTGTGTAACTGATTGTCCCCGTGTAGTCCGCGCCGTTAGCTGAGTATGCACACTCTGTAGCACCTTAGATAATGAAAACGTAAAGTGAAAAATTCTCGAGAGGGACGTTAAACAATATACAATCAATCAATCAATTAGATAATGAATGTTATAAAAACAATTTAAGTACAAATGCTTGTCATCTTAAAGTCAGATCTTTGTAATTAACAATTACTCGTAGATAAGAATGGGAGAAAACGCAATCGTTAGATTATACTTTATGAGGTTTTAGCTAGAATTAAAGAAAAAAAGTACATTTTTACTCATTCAAAGAAACCTGGTTGTCTTTTAATAAAAACATAATCTGATATAGACTGTAATGATATGTACATGTAATCCGTTTTTATCCGATTCCGTTTATATCAGGTTGTTAATGTTTAGTCTAAAAATGTAACTCTGGGGCAGAATAAAAAAGCATGCAGCACGACTTAGATGTTGTGATTTATCAAGGCCTAAGTTTAACCAAATAGAAACATTACATGGTGTCAGAAGGAGTTAGACTTCTCTACTACAGACGGAAATTTACCGGAGAGATGGAGAAAGTGGGAACAAACGATGAAATTGTACCTGAACATTGCCATGCATGCGAGAAACGAAAAAGATAAGTGTAGTGCTTTTCTCTATATCATTGGTCAAGAAGGCAGAGAAATATTTAACACTATGACAATACCAGATGAAGATATTGATAAGATTGATACACTGTTTACGAAGTTCAAAGACTACTGTGCTCCTAGAGAAAATATTACAGTTTGGAGACATAGGTTTCACACCAGAGTTCAAGGTAAAATAGAAACCATTGACCAATATGTCACAGACTTGAAAATAATTTCCAAAAACTGTAAATTTGGTGCATTAGAAGATGAAATGCTAAGAGACAGAATTGTATGTGGAGTTTATTCAGAAAAAGTCAAAGAAAGATTACTCAGAGACAATGAACTCACATTACAGAAAGCTTTAAGTATGTGTCGTGCTAATGAAGAGTCACAGAATAGATTAAAAGATCTACAACATGAGGAACATGTGGATGCTGTGAAATATAAACAGTCTGTCAAAGCATCAGTAGGAAACAAATTTCCGTCAATCCAGAAATATATGAAGGGAAATGTGTATCAACCCAAGAAGCAAAGTGTGTCAAGTAAACCTATCAACACAAAATCCTTTACATGTGGAAAATGTGGAAGCCAGCATGAGAAAGGAAAATGTCCGGCATTCGGGAAAAAATGTAACAGATGTCACAAGTTAGGACATTTTGCATCAAAGTGCAGGACTAAGTCTATTCATTCCAATGAACTAGAAACAGATGAAATGACAAACAGCTGTGAGACAAGTGAGAAGTTCTTTATTGGTGCTATTTCAAGTGGAAACAGTCAAGATGAAATCTACTCAAGTTTGGAAATAAACAACATTCCTATCAAGTTCAAGTTGGACACAGGCTCTCAAGTGAATATCATCACAGAGAAAATCTTCAAGAAACTAAACAGCACACTCACCAAAACTAATGTGAAACTTACGAGTTACTCAGGTGATTCCATACCTATAGCGGGAAAGTGTGTTCTTCCATACAAAGATCAACAACTTGAATGTTACGTTACACACGCAAATCAACCATCAGTATTAGGATATAAGAGTTGTTGTGAACTAGGGCTGATCAAAGTGACACTAGCTACAGAAGAACTACAGAGTGATTTTTCACCTATTGAGGAATTTCCAAGTGTTTTCACAGGATTAGGGTGCTTGAAGGAACCATACACCATCCATGTTGACAGTAGCGTACCACCTGTTGTTCATAGTCCTAGACAAATACCAGTAGCATTCCGTGAGGAACTCAAGAAAACTCTAGATGATATGGAAGCCAAGGAAGTGATCAAGAAAGTTGACCAACCAACTGATTGGGTTAATTCTCTTGTGATCGCTGAAAAATCCAAAACAGGAAAATTACGCATATGTCTGGATCCTCGTGACTTGAATGAAGCCATCAAACGTGAACATTTTCAGTTACCTACCATTGAGGACATCACAACCAGATTATCCGGAGCCACAATTTTCAGCAAACTTGATGCAAATAGTGGATACTGGCAAATACCACTAGATGAGGCCAGTCAACTTCTTACAACATTTCATACACCATATGGACGATACTGTTTCAGACGCATGCCTTTTGGCATAAAGAGCGCACAGGAAGTTTTTCAGAAGAGGATTGCTCAACATTTTGACAGTATTAAAGGTGTTGAAGTGGACATAGACGACATACTTGTGTGGGGGAGAAATAAAGAGGAACACAACAGACGACTAAAAGCCGTACTACAGAAATGCATGGAAATTAACCTTACCCTAAATAAGGACAAATGTCAGTTCAACAAGACAGAGATTGTTTACATAGGACATGTGATCTCCAAGGAAGGAGTAAAACCTGACCGAGAGAAAGTCGAAGCAATTATCAACATGCCACCGCCAACGGATAAGAAAGGAGTCGAGCGTCTGCTAGGAACTGTGAATTATCTTGCCAAATTCATTCCAAACATGTCAGTCATAAATGAACCAATCCGAAGCTTACTCAGAAGTGAAAATATGTTTATCTGGGAGAAACCACAGGAGGATGCGTTAAAGGCTATCAAGGAAATTTTGTCCAAGGAACCAGTTCTTACTTTTTTCAATGTGAACAAACCTATATGCGTTAGTGTGGATGCTTCAAAATGTGGACTAGGTGCAGTGCTTATACAGGACAAAAAACCAGTTGCTTATGCGTCTAGAGCGTTAACAGAGACTGAAAAGCGTTATGCTCAGATAGAAAAAGAACTGTTAGCTGTTACTTTTGGTCTAGAAAGATTCCACCAGTATACTTATGGAGTAAACGTTGTTGTTGAAAATGACCACAAGCCGCTGGAGAACATTCTCAAGAAGTCACTGGTTCAAGCTCCACCGAGGCTACAAAGACTACTACTTCGCCTTCAGAAATATTGCTTTGAATTCAAATACACTCCAGGAAAAGATTTGATAATAGCGGACACACTATCACGTGCTCATCTACCTTCAGTGAAAAAACAGAAAGAAGAAATAGATGACGAAATTGAAGCTTATGTGAATTCTGTGTTTCTTGAGGGAATTCCTATAGCTAAGGATATTCTACAAGATATCAAGAACGAAACCAGGAATGACACAATCCTCAGGGAAGTGATTCATAATATTGAAAATGGTTGGCCGGAATACAGGAATCAGCTGTCCAAACCATTACAAGAATTTTGGAGGATGAGATCCGAGCTAACATCAGTGGATGGGATTGTTATGATTAACGAAAGAATCGTCATTCCAGAAGTTCTACAACCAGAAATCCTTAGATACCTTCATGTAGGACACTTCGGTATTGAAAAAACAAAGGCTCGTGCAAGGACTGTAGTTTATTGGATCGGAATGAATGCAGACATTGCCTCAATGATATCCAAATGCAACACATGCATGGACTTCAGAAAGAAGAATACAAAAGAAACATTAAGACCAACACCCATACCAAATGGACCATGGCAGCTTGTCGGAACTGATCTATTCACACTTAACAATGAAGACTATTTGGTTATCGTGGATTACTACTCCAAATTCTTTGAAATCGCTAAACTTGAAAATACTAGGAGTAAAACTGTCATCATTCATATGAAATCTGCATTTGCCCGACATGGCATACCATTTAAAGTAATCAGCGACAATGGACCGCAATATACATCCAGAGAATTCAAGGATTTCGCAAACAAATGGGCATTCAAGCACATAACATCAAGCCCGTACTATCCACAAGGGAATGGTTTAGCGGAAAAAACTGTCCAAACAGCAAAACGTATGTTGGAAAAAGCCAGAGTCGATGGACAGGATCCTTACATTAGTCTACTAGAATACAGGAACACGCCGTCAGATGTTGATTCACCAGCGCAACTACTAATGAGCAGACAACTCAGATCTATTCTACCCATCACCAAAGAACAACTCAGACCTAAAGTCATTCCAGCAGAGAAAACTTATGAAAAAAGAAGAAACTCACAGGATCAACAGAAGAAGTATTTCAATAGTGGACAGAAAGATCTTCCGTATTTGAAACCGGGAAATACAGTTCGATTCCAACACAGAGGACATTGGATGCCAGGATACGTGAAAGATAAAGTTCATGATCGATCGTACAATGTAGAAAACTTAAATGGTGATAAATTTCGTCGAAATCGCAGAGATATCATCAAATCAGAGGAAACGAGTTTTCGAAAAGCTATCTCAGAACATGATGACCTAGATGACTTCAGTGAGACAGAAGTACCCGTGCAGCCAGTACTCGAGAAAAGTGTGCCAGAACAATCGTTAGAGCCGAATCAGCCGATACAAGCAGAAACGTATAAAACGCGATCCGGACGTGAGGTCAGACGACCTAAAAGATTCCAGGATTAAGTGTGATGTGATTATGTGAGGGGCATAATAATCCCCAAGTGATGGGATCTTGTGTGAGGGGCATAATAATCCCCAGTGTCATAAAATTTTGAGAACTTACCGGTATATTGAAAGATGAATTCATGATTGATTGTATATATTATGTAAATATGTTATACTCTATATCTCTAATTTTCAGTAAATTATGAATTTGAAATTTTCTATCTAAATTAACAGTAAAAGTTTATTTTGTACATTTTATCTTTAAAAGGGGAAAGATGTAATGATATGTACATGTAATCCGTTTTTATCCGATTCCGTTTATATCAGGTTGTTAATGTTTAGTCTAAAAATGTAACTCTTGGGCAGAATAAAAAAGCATGCAGCACGACTTAGATGTTGTGATTTATCAAGGCCTAAGTTTAACCAAATAGAAACATTACAAAATTTAATGATAGAAAAATTAATATCTATCTACCATGGATTCTAACTTACTACAATAGGGAACGTCACACCAGTCCCATCTTGTGGAGGCTGACGTGGTATAGCACCATGGGGAGGGTTCATCCGCGACCCGGCAGTAGTTTGACTGATTGGCGAGGTACGCATACTCTGGAATAAGTCAAATAAGCTCATACAGTACATTTGCATTCTAGGTAAATAACTTTTAAAATGTCAAAACTTATTTCAAGTTGTAAATTAGGGCGTTTTAATAAGAAATTATATATATTTGATTCTAAGTCATTTACTTGTGGGTACATCATGTGGCTCGTTGACTACCCATGCCTGACATTTGACCCCATTCTTGGTATAGTCACGTGTTCCTTCGAACTCCTTTCCATGTTCTATACAGGTCTTAAGCTTGCTTGAATCTATAAATTAAAATGTCTATTTTGGGTTTCTGTGTCAGGGAAATGTTAACTATGTTATTTTAATACAGTTACGATAACATCAGTGAATAAAATATTGTTTAAATTTAAATTAAATTTTAACACAATATCCAAAGTCTTTGTCCTTTCTTTTTTCCAAAGATATTTTAAGACCACAGAGACTAACTTTTAATTGACATTAAGTACTCACCACATTGTCCCACCTCCCACGTGATCTCGTCAAGAGCTACGTCACTATCCCAAGCATCTCCAGTAAGAGCTTCAAACGACAACTGAAATAGACAGAGTGAGAGGTTATCTTGTAATTTGTTTCACATGACCAATTTAACTTGGCTTAGTCAGATTCCATTAGCTAAATTAAATATTTATTATGTTGAGATAGAAAAGTATTCAATTTATGATGTTAGACCTCACACCTTCAATGATTTTTTTAAAAATTGAAATCAGAGAATTTTTTGTTGGTCAATCTCACTGTCTAGTCGATTAAAGAGTGGGGCATCTCATTTAATTCATTATTCCTTCCATGATTTTTCTAGTAAATCGCATCATTACATTTTTAGAATTTTAAATCGTAACTTATTTTGTATACTCAATTTAAATAAACCTATTTTTCAAGAAGCATTTCATTGTAAGAAGAACATCGGACATTACTTGCCTTTAGACCCGCTGTAGCGGGAACATTGACCTGAGCCATCAACCAATCAGAACCCTGATTTCCTTGTTTAGACCAAAGTGAGGTCTTGGCTGTGTTTGTTCCCTCCACAAAGAGTGTCAGCTTGTTAACATTTAATCCGAACATATTGTATGCAAATGAAAGACAACCAGCTTTCTCTGAAATATCGGTATATATATTAATTTCGTTATTAAGCAGTTAATACAATCAAAGAACGCACAAAAATAACTTTACATATCAACTATAGACAACGTATCACGTGTTATATAACTAGACTGCGCTCACCGAAAATAATACCTTAATATTTCATTCATACATTTGCAATTGCAAATAGGCACCTTTTATCTAAAATAATACCTACACATAGTGTTATTAATTTACATTCTTTGGGCAATATAAGACATTATTATACCTCTGTGAATTTGTTCAATATACAAACATGACGAATAAACATGATATCTTTTCCAAACAGCCCCTACTGTGAAATAGTTTTTTTTGCTATCTGCCCTGGTGAAATAGTCATCAAACTATTCACCGGCAGCATTCTGTTTCCCTCGCTTTTCTTCTCGAAAACTTCTGGTTTTTTACGCAATGTGACGCGTATATATTATGACGTAACACAAGTTTAGTCAGCATCGGTATAATATTGAATATCATAATTGTGTGTACCGTGGACCCTCAGAAATTAACAAAAGTTACATGTAAGTCAGCATCGGTATAATAAAACACCTATTTACTGGCTATGAGGACAATAGCAAGTTTATGGTTCCCCATGTCAGCAAACTATTTACCCAGGCGCAGCCGAGGGAAATAGTTTGCAGTCGAGTTGGACGATAAACTTGCGATTGTCCTCATAGCCAGTAAATAGGTGGATACTATTTCACGGCTTCCTCTAAAACAATGGCTACCAGTGTAAAATTAAAGTCGATTTACTCACATACTACAGAAAGTGTAGCAAAGTGGTATTTTTATTACACAAAACATCTAAGATAGTTATCACCTGGGAGGGGTACCACAGTTTGTAGGATAGCTTTGTCGCCCGGTTTTCTGGGGGAGGACATCTCTGTGAAGAGGTAACTCTCTCCCCTGTAGGCTCCCTCAGGCCCTGTCCCTTCTGACGTAGTGTGCTTCTGTAAAATACAATGATACAAAAGTGTTGTTATATTGACCTTTGTATCTACAGAATAAAAATTAGATTTGTTTCAAGTACCAGTTATTTAAAAAGAAGTCGTTCTTTGTATCTTGATTTACATCAAGTGTTACAGTTATTACTGCCAAATGCATTTGGAATCCTAAATGGATACAGTATATTCTCCAGTGCCTTTTACAAAAGGAAAATTTCACATCTTAGAAAAAAAAAACAATAATTCATGAAAGATCAGAAACAAAAAAAAATTTCTTCAATAACACCTTATTTGCCTATTGAAGTTGTCATTTAACTTTTTGTTAAAAAGCAGGGTATTTTTGACATGACCATTTATGACAACAATTAAATAATTTTTTTTCATAGCCTAGATTTTATTTAATTTTTTTTTAAACAGCAAAGTACGTATTTCATAACAGTGAATAAAAAAAAACTGTAATATACATCAATATACAGAACTATAAAACTATACTCACAAATCCAGGTCCCCATTCAAAGTTGTCTCCTTCTTGAACGTTTTGAAAGAAACACTTTTCATGTCTCTCAAAGGTGCATTTTAGCTTGACATCGGCTAAACAAAAACAGGGAACATTTTTCTTTCAGTCACATATCTACTTTTTTCTTCGTATAAAACTTACTTCTTTAAAAGGAGTTATTTGATAAAAGCACAAAATGAGATGAAGTTATTCCCCTTACCTATGACCTGGTCACAGTTGTCCCCCGTGTATCCGGGTTGACACACACACTTGTACTCACAAGCCTTCAGCTCTGTGGGGAAACACTTCCCGTACTGACAAGGGTTATCCCTACATACTACTCACATGTAAATAGAAGCAATAGAAATAAGCTTAAAGTACTATTATATACCATCGATGTAAAATATACAGCATGTGCATGTAAGAATAAGGCAGAATTGGATTTTACTTATTTGATTTAGCACCTTTCTCAATATGATATATATTAAAATATCAAAACAAGACATCCAGTGGTGTACTTGCTTTCACCAAACACAATAAATATACAGAAAACAGATCTTGTTAAAAGTTAAAATTTTACTGTTATATGTAATTATTTACAATTTCAATTGTATTTCTACTAGCTTACTCTTAGATTAAGAATGATTTTAAGGTAGGCATAAAACTGCATGATTTGTTCACCTTCTCTTTCCTTCTCAAAGTGAAGCCTGAACCCTTTGTGTGTAACCCTGCTGCCAGCAAATCTGGTATCCATAGTAACAATCATTAACGTTGGGGAATCAGCTGATGTCAGGAAAGTATCTCCAACAATGTCTCCACATCGCCTAGAGATAGATGTTAAGTTTACATCAAGATACTTTAAGCAATAAACATTTTACTGCTTAATACTTCATATATATATTAGTTAATTATGCTTCAAATTTACAATTAAAATTTTTTTTTCTTTGTTTCACTGTCAAAGTCAGAGGTACGCTTCTAATGTGTATATTACTCAGAAAAGCTTTTAATTACAGAATATTTCTGTATAAGTCTTCATTTATATTTACAAATATTATTAAATAATACCTTATTCCAGGCTGGCCAGGTAGATTGTACTGAATCTCTAACCAGTGGTAACAACGAAGTGTATCCGGGTTATAGGCCATATGGAGGTCATCAACTGTCATCTTAATAATGTAACCTTCAGGTGCCTGTGGTATTAAATTTTAGATGTTGATATCAGCATGGGCGCCTTTTAATATATTCTAAAATTGTTTTATGGACGCAGTAGTTCAGAAAAAAAATTCAGCTGATTAAATAGCCTCATGACTGTTTTGTTCCTGGGAAGAGGATTTTTCATATTTCCTTTCTTAAAATTTTGCTGCTGCTAACCTATGATATTGATTTCAAAAAAGCTATAAGCAACAATATCTTATTCAACTTAAGTTTTACATTTCCTGGCCGGGCAATTATCGAGGAGATTTTATCACTTTGCTGTATAACTTTGAAACTTAATCATAATAAACGTTCCTAAGATGAAGGTGTGGTGGCTTGCCATTTGTACATATTTTAATTCTTTTTCACAAATAAAAAGAATACTTTAAGATACTTTACGAAAAAAATGATTGAAATCGAGTGCTTCTTGAGAGAAAGGCGGAAAATTTAAATACTTCACAGACCACAAAAAAAAGACAGACAGAAAAACTCATTTGAGCATCTACAGATAAACTTAAAACAAAGACAAAGTTAATGTTTTACCTTCACAACCCATCTACAAACTTTTCCTTGTCCAGCTTGGCCAGGGTAGTTAGGGGATGTTATAAAAACATCTTTATTTTCACCAAGAATGGAAGCTTCCTTCAAAGAAATAATCCCTCCACAATCTAAAAAAAAAGAGGAGAGCTATGTTCAAACAAGAAAATAGTTTCCATTATAATGATCTTCAAAAAATATTAAATATCTTAATTATGATACACTTTTGAAATCTACTTACTGTACATGTATTTATGGAGACTTTGTAGTAACCGAATCCCTTGCTCCCGCGCTCAGTAATTATAAAATGTGGTATTAATTAACCTTTTCCAGTGAAATTCCCACACGAAAAAGGGTTCAACAGACCTTTGCCAAGTGAAGATCGGAGAATACTTTTTATTGCTGATATTAAGGCTGTATTTAGCTCCATTAAGGATAAATTCAGCTACAGCAGTGATTGACCAAAAATAATGTAAAGCTGAGATTTTGAGATTGTCTGATGGCGGATGATTACCACTTCCAGGAAACGCTCCCTGTACAGATTTGACATTCACCTGTTATATTATTTACCTGAGTCAGTGACGACTGTCTGACACAGGTCTCCGGTGAACCCCTCCGGACAGGTACAACTACAGGTAACGTTCACGTATCCCCCATGCTGGCAGACTGGACGGGAGGTGCAATGAGCTAAACAAAAAATTTAAAGGTGTGATAAATAAAACCTTTCTCTAAAGGGTTTTAGAATGATGTCAATGAACAGGTTTCACAAATTGTAAAATTATTCCAAGGTACAAGTCTCATTTTAACATGTCTATGCTTTTGTTTTTATCAAAAGGGGATAGGGTATTTTTTTTCCAGAATTGATTTAAATCTACTTTATTTTTTTCATTACCTGTACAATCATAGTGGTCCAGCAGATCTTTTAAATCGTAGAAAGACAAGACCTGGTTCCCAGGAACTTCTAGGAAGTACAGATTCTTATCCTTAAGTTCTATAGTCTTTTTTCCACCGCCAAATGACTTGAAACAAAAGAAGTGAAATCAATTTTTTTCGACACAAATTTACATATATCAGAGTTTACTTTACATGTATACATGTATGAACAAATAATTTTCAATGAATTAAACCAAGATTTATAGTTATTTATAGACATGTACTTTCCTTATTTTACAAAGGTATTTTCATTAAAGCAGTGTTTTATTGCTTTATTTAATGTTAACAAAAAACAAGAGATAAAAAATTATTGAGGAAAAATTACCGTGTATCCGTACTGCATCACGCTTCCTACATCATACGGGTTAAGATTATAGGTCAATCGTCTGTAGAAATTATTCTTGTAGTTGGGATCGATGTTATCCCATATAATTTTGACATATCGATCCCGATCGTTACGGGACTGTTCGTGTCTCTGTCCGATTCTATGCAGCATTTCATGTACAGCAATACTGACCTATAATTAATCCAATATAATGTATGAAAGATTAATTTTGAACGGAAAAATGATAATTGTTAATTTTTTTTGCGATATCAGGTTCAATTTATTTTGCACATTGGATGGATTCATCATAGTCTAAATTTATTTCTATCAAAAATAAAAGGTGATTTAAAATTCTAAATCCAAACACTACTTACTGATCCACATCCGGGTTCTGCTAGGGTTATATGATGTTCCTCGTTACCATGGAAACCAACTCCCGAACTGCAGCCACCTCCACTGTTAAAGTAAAAAGAACCAGTTTATGTCATGACAAAGAACAGTCCCTCTAAACATTTTTTTGAAATCCTTATTCTGCTACCTTTAAAAATGACAAGGATGTTAAAAAGTTTGTGTTTTAAAATATTTTTATTCTCAAATCTTTTGTGAACGGTTGTTCAGTTCAACAAAAACATTTCAGGAACGTTTTGATTGTAGATATTTTTGTTTTAAATTCCTTTTATATTCTTCAGTTAGCAACAGGACATTTCTTTAATTTGTTTCGTACAGTCTTCGAGGAGGATGCATACTTCAAAACACGGACGTATCCCGTGTGTCCGACTTCCGCCGCTACTGACGAGGATGATGGCTTAAATCTAATACAGGTTAGCTGATTGAATATTTCAATAGCTTCTAGAAATGGCGCTCTGTTGGCCACTGTAAGATATACAAAGAGAAATGCTATTCCAATAATTAAAATTTAGATTATGTTACAATGAGAACTGTCGTCAGCTTCTGTTTGTTTACATTTCGTTTTCAATTTGGTGTCGTTTGTAAAATTAATTAAAACTGACCTAAATTATCATCAAAGATGTAGGGGACGACACCTTTAGGCCAGTTTGTGGAACCCGGACCGAAATTCCTTTTTCGTCTCTGGAAAAATAAAGCATACAATAAATAACATATTACATTAGTCCAGATGACAAATTCTACATAATACTAGTATACATGCATTTCAAATCATTCGGCAGATAAAATACAAGAGTTTAATGCCCAAATCATTTAAGAGTATAACATGTATATGAATCAAAGAAAATGAAAAAAGTTAAGTATCACTCTAACGTTATTTTTGAATTTTGATTTGGAATATAGGCAAATTTGGTTGTAGAAGTACTTGACTTTGCCAGTGCAATATTAAATCCATGTAGAGCAAATACATGTTTTTACCACTATTTGAGGATTTTCAGTTAAATGCACAAGAAGAACAACCTACATTTCCGGAAGGTTTAGATAGATATACAAGTACCTGTTTTCCCGGTTTGCCCTCCTTTTCGGACTCTACCTCCGTCTCCACAGTTCGATCCAGACTCTCTTCTAAAAGTCTCGTCGAATTCTCGGAATGAGTCCCTTTTGGCTGAAATATCCACTCAATATTATTTACATCATTATTAGTTTTCCTGGGATATTTTTTATGTTACGTTTTCTTAAAAACATGTCTGAATGTATTGCAACACGATCAATCGACTTACAGTTCTGATATTCCCATCCACTCCTACTCCAAAGCTTAGAACCATCTGCAAATCAGGATCATTGGGATCCAGGTCCTAGAAAATATAAAAAAAAAAATATGTTAGTTTAAAGACCTTTTCTAGTTCATGACACAGACCTTAAAAACACAGACCGTAAGGGTACTAAACACACAAAAAAATTGATGCATGGATTGATATATATTATTTGACTGATTTTGATTTGAAACGACATAAATTATAAATCCCTGAAATATAAAGATATTGTAGGCTTTTCTTGATGCTTAGATATGAGAATTTGTTTTGCTTTCTATATAATTCCATACAAAATTTTGCACAAATTTTTAACCTTATGACAAATTGTTGTACAATTCTCTCATTATATTAGGTAAACATTATTAAGGTTACCAATTAAAATGTTAATCTATGAAAAATACTACTAATTTCATAAGTAAAATTGTGTGTGTTATTTATCCTTGAATGCTGAGTAACTACGTGTATAATAATCAATGGTAAATGGACATATTTTGTGAAATTTTTTTTGACATTTACTGAGTATTTAAGGGCCATAATACGCAGGAATATTAACAGTGCTATTCATGAATCTGCATTGCACATTTGCATAATGGGCACAAGCTTATTTAAGATAATATAACTTTTATAAGACAATGGGATTTTCGAATGCCATGGTGTCAACATAAGGTCCTTAAATAACCTTCTTGCCGGTTAGATGATTTAAGACATGCACTGCAACATTTTTTTTTTAATTGTTGTGTTTTCTTCCTCGCATTTTAAACAAAACTTTACCCTTTCTTAATTTTTGGTGTTTCCAACATTTTAAATGAAAAACATTTAATGAACTTTAAAGTTTTCAAACTTTTACCATGAAATATATGGAGATAACGAAGCAGATTTTGAAAATATTGTAAAGAAATGAAAGACCTTGTCGTCCATCTTGTCTGCCCTAAGTCTCTTACGTCCATTTCTCTTTGCTTTCCTATCTTCTTTCTGAAGAAAAAAATTCAAACTCTCGATCAGCAGAACTTTTATCGAATATAAGAAATATAAAATACATCAGAGGACAATCTGACAGTATTGAACACTTGCCCTGGTTTCCTCATATCTCTCCAATCTCTTCTGCTCCTTCAGTTTGTTCCTTTCCTTCTGCCTGGATGCTGTGTATATACAATCGATTCAAAATATCAATCTTAATCGCGACAGGTATCGGCGCATATTTTTGTTATAAATACTGCGGAAACCTGGTTTTTGCATGAAAATTCTTCATTTTTTTCCCCAACTATTTGCCATTTGGACCTTCACCCGAATATGCTTATTTCGAATAGTTTTCTAGTCATGTTAGTATCGATAAAAACTTAAGTTTATAATATCAGTTCCGATGCTGGCACGAACATGTCAGTTGTTACATTAAATGTAAACTGAATCTTCCATTTCTGGTCCAATTATAAAAAAATCGATGCAAAATTAATATTAAACTTTAAAACTACATATCGTTTCGTTTTCAAATCGTCAATTTAAATGCATAGTTTTGTACGCAAAGATCAAGAAGAGATATAAAGAATGAAAAACAACATTAATTATTCATTAAAAATTGTTCAGTATCAAAAGAAGAAAATGATTCATTTTAGAGACAAATGCATTTTTTTTTCAAATAACAACGTCACCGTTTTATCAATGCGTTAAAAGGAATGAGCCATGAAAAGAAAAGGAATTTTCATTTAAATATAAATTTGTGTTAAATTTCAAGAGGTATTTAATATTGTCACTCAAATAAAATATTTAGTTTTTCATCACTTACTAAATAATTTCTGAACCATTGATATATTTTTGTAAAGAAATATATAACAAGGTTTGAATTTGAAATCCACAAGTCCGTCGTTTATATTAATTTTAGTAAATGTATGATGCTAAGAAATAATTCATTTTACAAAGGACGCAGATTTCTTAAAAATCTGTATAACCTAATAGTTCATTTTATCATGTTTCATTATCTTCAAGAAAAATCAATTAATTTACACAGCTGAGAAAACTTTATTTAAGGTAAACATGTACTGAATTTATAGTTTATTTTTAAGTTTTGAATTTCAGTTTCATCACCAACTTATAATTAAATGCTTTCGATCTCCAGACGACTTTCTAATATTTTTCTTTCAACATCTGTTATTAAATAAGGTTTATGTACATTTTAAATTCAGATGTTGTTAATAAGTGTGAATTTTGAGTTCGTCAAACCAGACAATTTCTTGAGAACGCGCGCAAAAGTTTTGGAAATACTATTCTTTATTTCCAATAAATAAAAAATACATTCCATATTTAAATTTTTAATCAGAAAATTTTTAATTCCATTTTTATTGTCATATTTCTTTGTAAAAGTAACACTTTCCTTTTTTGAATTTACATAAAAACCACAGGTAACTCTTGATGGCTCGAACTTCGATCTCTCGAAGTTCTTGATCGCTCGAAGTGAAATTTTTTCCCTATATAACTAAGCAAATTTACTCTTGATTTCTCGATCTCTCGAATGATCTCTCGAAAAAATTGCACACATATTCTATTGAAATTCACCCTTGATACCTCAAGTGGCTATGTGTAATTGCAACTTGACCTGATTTAACCATGTTTATTCAGTCACTTATTCTGCAAGGTGATAATTGATTTATAATTAATCTTTTATATACAAAATAATTATCATCGCAATCACTTTAATCAGAATTTAATTTTTATTTCATTTTTAATTCCCTTTTTGTTGTCATATTTCTTTGTAAAAAAAATTTTAAAAACACGAACTGACGATGTAAGTTTATTCAGTTTAATAAATATTCACTTACATATCGTTGTTTTGTAAAAACTTTTTGATTATATATATTTAAAAAAAAACATATAAAAAGGAATGGTTTCATAAAAATGGAAATATGTAACAAAAAATGATATTTAAAGTTGTAAATTACATGTAGATGTGTCGATATATAAAATATGATAGTTATAAAATTGAAACAATACATACATTTGTCTTTGTCTTTGCCATCTATGAATGTCAAGGAGACCAACACCAGTAATACAACTAGCAGGCAGAAATAACCACGCATCTCTGTGTGTCGCTAGGGCCGAGTGGAAGATTGACAAACACGGACCCTCTTTATAGTAAAATTCACGTGAAATATCCACCCCTTACTAAAGAATTAACTTTTAATATCCCACCCCCTTCGTTGAATAACGCACGAGTTCACCTTGAACTGTATTGAAATTGAATGTTTCTTATTACCTATATCTTGTAATATTTAGACTTAAGATGTAAATTTTTATTTGATATTTCCTTTTTTTTTCTTTGCTGCCTTCAATTCATTTCCATATAATTATTTTTCTCATTTACAATTGATAGAGATCGAAGTGATTTTTATTTCTCTCTCTTACTTTGCATTGTCATGTAGCTGTATTTTTATGTTCTCGTTAATGTAAATAGAGAAATGGACTTGGTTAATTAATTTAAAATTAATATCAGAGGAATTTTACAGCTGTTTATTAAATACCCCGCTGCTATTATTATTGCAGTTAACTTTTAGTTAAAAATAAGAATTTGAATATCTGTAGTGTACAGCCCGTGCATTTTTGAAAAAAAGAAGAATAAAATCAAGAGAAAGACAAAGCTAAAGATACTTTTCTTCCTTTTTTTCTATACTAACTTTAAAAATTTTGATTTTTTAAAGGCGATATCCTACAACAGTGTTTTTATTATGCGCCCGGATCGATAGATCCAGGGCGTATATTGTTTTTGTCCTGTCTGTCTGTCTGCCTGTCTGTCTGTCTGTCTGTTTGTTTGTCCCGAACTTTAACCTTCACCATAACTTTTGAACCATGAAAGATAGAGACTTCATATTTGGTATGCATACTCCACTAATTAAGCTCTTTCAAATGACACTAAGGTCAATGACCTTGTGACCTTGTTATTTTAAATATTTTTCATTCATTTAGATTATTTTTATATAATGGGGGGGGAGTATTTTGTAGGCATTTGATTAATCACTACCCATGTGGATACAAAAAAACCTCGTGCAATCTTTCCTGTAATTTGATTAGACATACAAATAAAAGAAGTTTTACATTCTTATATCTAGCAGTGATGTGAACATAGTTGTTGGAGATAATTTTTATTGTGAAGAGAAGTTTTGAGAATTTACTGGACTAAGGTGACTAGTCAATTAATGCTTAATCTTTTTATGACATGCATTTCTATTACGCCTTTTTGTTGTTGAATCGTATAACTTGTCAGTTTTTGTTTAAAAAACGTCCTTCAGTACAAAATTTTTGGCACACCAAAAGAGATAATGGGTAAATGACAGTTCTTTTTTTCCAAATGTCATTGGTTTGCTTATTAAGATGATAAAGATTAGGGCATTTGAAAATAATAATTCATTTGTAAGTATGAAGACTCAATGACATGCACTAAATGCAAGCCTCACTGGTTTAGAACATTTAACAATTGTCAAATACCTGCTTTCAAAAGGGCCTGTATCCATTAGAAACCGATATTGACATTGTCAAATATATTACTGAGACACAATACATAAGCAGGGATTTTTCTAGCTATCTTGAAAAATAATTTCCCTTCCACCAATTTTTTTTTCGACATTTTTTATTCAATACATATGTGTCTCTTAAATTTTGCAAAAATGTTGATATATAAAGGGTGTTAAGAAAGTTCGTTCCACAGTTTTCTTTTATATTCAAAAGGAAATAGGATGAGAAGATATTTACAATTTGTGATATTTCATAAATAATTTTAACTGTCTTTTGTTGAATCAATAAGGAGATGGCAGGAATTAAAACCAATTTTTTTCAGAAAAATTAGGGATGTTTTTATATTAAGTACACAGGTCAACCTTTCAAATATTATGCAAAAATTATCAAATCTGTGAAAAATTTCAATATGAGAAACCTATTCTATTGAAAAGTGATGTATTGTTCTTATACCTACGCCCAACAGCTTGTCTGATGCAAGATAAGCAATGAAGAAACAAATGTAAATTATCCTTTATTTTTACTCAAAATGACCAGCATTTCTATCGATCGGGTGCTTTAAAGATGTTATATATATTTTCATATGGAAGAAAAATCCTACATTTTCCTTAGAAATTTTATAAATTTAAAGCACACTCTTGTGATTTTGTTTTAAATTTTTGAATATATCATAACAATATATCAAGTGAATTTAACGTTTTATTTAATCATAACAATGATATGTAAATATAATTTACAGTCTGAAGAATTATTGCATCTTTATTTTAAAAATGAAATGCCTCACTGTGCACACAACTTAAGTTTGTTTACTTAAATCGGAAACAGTCCTTCAAACTTTGTCTGTATCAATAACAAAAAAATTAGGAAATATTATGCAAAGTAAAAGAAGAAGTAACAAAGCTTATTTCTTTTATACAAAATCTCTTTTAATCATTTGTCAAAAAAAAATAAACATAAATTTTTAAATTAAAAAAGAATTGCGCGTACCATGGAATATGCCAGCAGAACAACTACTGTTCATAACCGTATGTTCACTGAATAACGTTGTTTATTTCTTGAATATTTCCTCTCTATGTTTGGTAATACATCTACAAGGAAACTGAATAATTCAGTCTCTGAACTAAAGTTATGTAAATTGCGAATAAATAACTTAAAACAGGTAGAAACAAAACATTGGATTTGCCATCTCTCTTAGACATTAGTTAATAAAAATATTAACGGGCACAATTAATGCTAATTTTGCTCAATCAATTTTAAAAAAAATATTGTCCACCTAGTATCTGTTCAAATTTATACTAGCTATGGGTTTAGAATCAAGTTTATTTTCTGTTTAATGAATTAGAGATCGTTAATAAATCACGAGTTTCCAATTACCCCACTTTATAAACGTTGTATTTAAATACCCTCTTCAATTACACTCGAGTAATATCTTGGTGTAAAGGAAGTTAATTTCATTTTATGCGTGAAATCCTCAGTATAATATTGAGCTTTCCGGTTTAAGAACGATGAGTAGGAACATTCCATAAAATTTGCCGTCTTCCATAAAAAAGTGTAAATCTTGATCCGTGTGGTGTGTGAAACGAATTTTTATCAATTCATTTGGAGAAAAGTGGAATATTTTTTATCATCTCTTTTAAAAGACGACGTAAAACCGAGGCAATTTTTAAAAGAGCACTTTATATAACGGAGCTGACGAGGGAGAAAAATAGGGAGAAAAGACTTTGATGAGTTGATGACATACGTCAATTAAGTACAAGATTTTTTCTCCTCTTAGCTAACATGGATAAATAGCGTTGTTAAATAATTTTACAAAAAAAATTCAATACCTTGTCGACGTCTTCAACTTCTCAAGGTTTGAGATGTCTGTCCGTCAAATGCATTTGTTGTAAGTTATTGAAATGGTACAAAGGATTAAGGATTAATAAATGTGTATGACAGAAGAATATAGACCGCACAGGGAAGAATTACCGTCGATTAATATTGCAGACTTCGTCCTGTTTTATAGCTTGACTGCACTGAACCACATTAGGCGTATACTGATATCAAACGTAGAAGAATCTGTCAAAATCGCGTATCGCCATCCGTCATTATCATTTGACAAAAATTGTTATCCAAGGATAATTTTTTTTAAAAAAAACTCTTTTGCTATATGTGTATCCATACTTATATACACAGATTAAAAGCAACATATAAATTACGTAATTTGTTCAGTTCCTGTTATGCCAATTTTTAAAATGATATTAATACTTTCGAGTTTCAGACTGTAAGCACTGAAGTCGGAATTTCTAGTTGTGATTTTTCTTGCTTTCTATCTGTTTATACACTGTTTTAATCACACGTAATAGCTACGGGTATATTCTACTAATTCCCACTTTTTAAAAAATCACGCATGAAAAGGTTAAGTGTGTAAATAAATAATTAATAAGTGTATAAACATAAAATTATGTTTTGTATTAATTATTGCTCTATAAACAATTAATATTAACATGGGGCAGTCATATTGGCTTTTTATTAAATTATTAATGTTACTATTTACTTTATATTTGAAAGAAAAAAAAGTAAATTGAATCATTTCCTCCTTTTAATTTGTAATGTACATGTATTTTCTTAAATACTTTTTTTAAATGCATTTTCTCGATAAATCTATGTTTTTATATTCTCATTTGAATGAAATGCAAGTGCATCGTCTTACAGGTGTATTTTTATTTCATAAGTCTATTTATTATATTTTTCTGTCTCTTAATATACAAAATACAGGTAAATTTAGGCTTGGATGTAGTTAGTCTTATTACTGTAACAAAAGATAAACTATCAAAACATCTATTCTTATTTGCAAATGGGAATAGGCGGGATTGAGTTTTTCTTTTTAAAAAGTGGGAAATAGTTAGAAGACACCTAACTACGTACTGATGTATTACATAAACGTTCTTTGAATAAAATGCATAAAATATGTTAATATTTTGATCGAGATTGCCTAATAATAATGCTTATTTCTCTCCTAGACCATTACAATTAATTTTAACAATTAGAACATGGCGCTTGTTTAGTTAAATCATACATCAATGAAAATTTGTCTGACAGCAATGATTCAACATGATTGCCAGATTCGTACGTCATGTTATATATTACATCTTGGTAGAATATGACAATTGTATTGAGTGAATGTTTTGAGTTTTTAATAAGACTGTATTCTGTGTTTGACTTAAAAAATGAGTTGGAGATCGTCCCGAGTAGACAATGTTTATGAATATTACAGTACTCATAACAAACATCTCATAATGAGGATTTTAATTTTCGGGCACCTTGTAAATACACAATGAATAAACGGACTTTTGTAAAAAGTATTATCCAACAAATTCATAACCTAACAATATAGAACTTTGCTTGTAAAAGATGCCCCTGATTGATTTTTAAATAATAAGTTTTTAAATTAAAGGGAAGTTTTTATAATTATAATCATGTTCTCAATCTCAATAGCAATGCATACAAGAAAAGCTCGTGTGGTGCAATTACCACCTACATTGTGTTATCAAAATGTTGTTGAGTAGATAATTATCTAACCAATGAGGTCTGAGTGCACGAAATAATTAAACACACTTATATCATAAAGCGTAAAAAATAGCCCGTTTTCCTTTATCTATCAATTTTATAGAACTATGATTTAAAGGGTTTCATGTAAAGAAGACACAAAAACAAAATCAAATAGAACGACAAATTTTAATTTCATAAAAACAATTTCGGGTTTTATTGATGATAAAGATTTTTAAAAAATATTAAAGCGTTAAAAAATATCTGAAGAGACTGTACTTTTACTAGGGTATATAACAAAGGAGAGACAAAAAAGCACTTGTACGTGAAAGAAAACAAATATGAGTGCATTAGTTTTGTTCCTTTATAGCGAAGTTCATCACAATATTTATAGGCTTTTGAAAGAATTTTACCAAAAAAAAATTATTTCAGTAAAGTCCATAAATAAAAAAAAAACAGATGTTCATGCATCGCACTCTACTTTTGTGTAACGTTAAATGTAAAGTTTTTCAATTTTGATATTTCAAAATTGAAATCACATAAAAAAAAAAAAACAGACCTTTCTTTTTCTTCTTAACCATGCATTGAGACACTTAATTAATTAAAAAATGCCTTTAAGAGACGATTCCAAGTCCCAAAAAGTATATTATGGATGTAAAGGCGTTCAAAATTAGTTTGCATATTGAAATGTAAATTTACTTTCCAGTTTTTAATGAATGATAAGACTAAGCTACAGCCTATTAAAACTTCAATTTTTTCTTCATATAAATTAAGGAGAGTGTTGTTGGGTTGATGGGATTTTCAATTACAAATCCACAGTAGAAAAATGTTTCTTTTTTTTCAATGTAATCAAAAAGTATGGTAAAATACAAGTAAGTATCGATGTTTTATTAGTCTGGGTCTTAGTTTCATTCAAGATAAATTATTCATTTCCTCCATTTAAGATGATATCGTAACAAGTCTTTGAATTACTGAGAGAAAAAATGTCATTAATACGGCAAGTAGAGAAAAATCAGAATTTGACCATGAAGCCATAATTAAAAAATAAAACGTTATGTACAAGTCGTATGAAAGCGTCTTACTAAACAAAGAACTTAAGAGAATCTAAGAGAACTCTTGAACGGTAAATTAAAATTTAATTCATAATATGCGAAATCGATTTTAGAATTCCCATCCCTAATAAGACCAAATTCTCTACTCTTAAATGTCCTTCACAATACTCTGATATCAAATTAAAGCATTTCATAGTAGAAAAGGAATGCCCGCGAGAAAGTTTCAAAAATTAAATTAATTAAGCCGAAGATAATTACATATGTAACAAAGATTACATTGTAGTCTATGGGGAAGAGTTTTTTTTTTCTTGAATAAAAATTCAAATAATATGAATATCAATAAATACAGTGGTAAAAAGATGCATTGAAATGTTAGAAATAGAATAACAATGGAAAACAATTTTTTTACCGGACAAAAATTTTTAAATTGATTTTTTATTAATTAAAAACAGAGGGAGGTAACTCTTGCCAAAATTTAGAGTCATAATTTAGAACACATCATACTCTTACATACTAGTAATACTAATTAATAAGCATAAAGGGCTTTATGGAAGATCTATTGTGAAAAGAATTGTTTTCTTAAATAAAAATTCAAATAATATGAATATCAATAAATACTGTGGCAGAAAGATGAATTGAAATGTTAGAAATAGAATAACAATGGAAAACGATTTTATTTACTATATATAAATATTTCATCTGTTTATTTATGTATATATCTATTTGAAATTTTCTGTGTATATTCATAATATATGTACTAAAAGTAGTGAAAATTTCAGAAGGCAGTGATGATTTCTTTTCGACCTAGACAACTTGATTTTACCGGACAACCCTCGAAGAACCCTTGAATTATTGGAAAAAATGGTATTTTCTTTTTTAAAGACCTTCATCGCTACGGGAAAGGTCAGGAAGTGAATAAGGCCGAATGAGACAAGAAGACACCCTGTGAACACCAACTGGAAGTTAGTATAATACACATAATTCCTTAATACACGAGAGTGTCCTCAAAAGCCGTTGATAAGTAATGTTTTAAGCTGTAAACATTCAACAAATGCTGAAAAAATTTTGCATAGCAATAATGTTCCTTAGAATTAGGAATCTTTAAACAAATATTTTCAGGGTAATTATATTGACGATTATAAGAAGGCCGATTATGCTCTGTTGACACACCAATGAAACCCAGAATATCCGAAGGAGAGAGGGGTATGCGGTTTTACCCTTGTGTGTCTGCCTGTCTGTCCGTCCTTTTGTCTGTCCGTAACAACTTTTTGGTCGCAGTTTTATCCGAAACTACTTATAGCAGATGCTTGTAATTTTTGCAAATTCTCTGCTGTTGCATGCAATATTGGACTTATTTTTGTTCAAATTCGATGACTACTTCCTGTTTATCCGTGCGACTTTCTGTACCATTAATACATGTAACAAATTTTCTTCACTGTTTTCTCAGTAACTACTCATTACAGATAATTGAAATTTTAGCTCACTCTTTTAGCAGAAATGTCATATGGCGGGTTTCATTTTTTTTCGTTCAAATCCAATGTCAACGTCCTCTTTATTTGTATGTCTGTCCATAAAGGAACCTGAGTATATTAACATGATTGTGTACATTCACATCGGATCAGGGGTATTATTAATGATCAATAGCTCACTCTTGTTCACGTATGTCAATTGTTTCTCTGTTAATATTAAGGACTTAAATCAAAAAATAAAATCAATGAAAACCTGACATTACCAAAGTAATGTGCCAATTTTTAAAACATTGTACAATTCTCTGTTATCCTTGAATTTTTAATAAGGCGTGACATTCTCGACGTTACATAATAAGCGTAGGAAATCTAAACAGCCTTTCATCCACTTTTGAAATATACATGGGATAAAATTTCGGGCGAATGTCTACAAGCGTAGCAAGGATCCCATAATAGCGTTTCGTACAGCAAAGATGTGGGACTTGAGTTGTCATTTTTGTCAGCAACAATTTAAAGTTGCTGATGTTATTAATTTCTTAAAGAATGAGAATCTATGTCGCCATTTGAGAGTCACTTATTACATAGCGTCGAGATTGCCACACCTTACTGAAAGTCGAAGGATGACAGAGAATTGTACTTAATGACACCAAAGGCAGGGGTCTGTTATCGTAATTTTCAAGGTGATATTAGAGTTGAGTGTGCTGAAATTACGTCGTCAGACGCAAAAGCGGCACCCAAAAAAAGGTTTTTCAATCGTGATAAATCAATAAATTAAGATCGGAATTATACAACTTTAAATGTGTGTTCCGTATTTTACAAATAATGCATGATCATGAAATGTTTGCATTTTACTAGAAAAGAAAAAGAAATTCAATTATATGTAGGGAAAAAGAATAAAAAATTCTTCCCTTTCTACGACTTTTTGCTAGTCATTTTTTTAGTATAATTAGTATAATTTCAGTGTACACTTTATAAATGAAAAAAAAAATATACACGTATTTCTCATCCTTTGTTCCGTTTTATTAAACTCTCAGTTTGTCCTTCTCACAGATAAACCGAAAAGCGATTGTACAACTCATGTCATTCCAAACTCCTGTTTTTGAAAGTCCCGCGCAATCGTCAGACTGGGAATTGCTAGGCTCGCCAGGTCTCCAATTCGTGAAGACCACGTGACTTCCTGGACGAGTCCATTTAAAGGTCCCTTCCATTTCTCGGTCATTAAATCCAAGCCATATCCAAGCATAATCTTAAATTATTAAAAAAAGACAAAAAAGGACACGTGTCTGAAAAAAAATATTTTTTATCCAAATCTCACTGGAAAATTGTACATCCATATGTCGTCTTTATAACTTTCCAAAAGATCTCCAAAGATTAATCAGGTTTTTCCAGTCAGAAACTCAAGGACATTTTAAATATCAACTTTAGAATACTTATTAGTACAATTAGAGTGTTTTAAACAAAATCATTTCATAAATGAGTACATGTTGGGTACATTTACGAAAACTTTATTGAAAAATACAAGGACGTGAAAACATATCGAAGAAAAGAAAAAACAAGATAATATTCCAATTTTTCAGCGAAAACCGGTGGATAAAAAAATGGAACTAATTGAAAGATATCGTTGATAACATACCACCGAATTCTTCTGTTATCCACATGTTCTCCTCCACTGAGTCAACCTCAACTAAATACGCCCCTTCTGTCTGACACCGAATCTGAGAGATTAAAGTTGATATTTCAAATAAAAGTTATCTTCAAAATTTTTATCTTTTGGTCTAATGAAGACTTGCTGGTCTCCAAGAGTCATAATTTAAAAAAAAACTTTGTGATGACTATATGAGTGATCAATCAATCAATCAATCGTGAAGATTGATAGAGGAATGGGTGTAACTTGAACCAATTTTTCTACAAAATGGTAACACTGTCATGTCTAGTGTCAAATTTTCTTTAAAAATAAATCCTAGCTACCTGTTTGCAAAAAAAAAAACACACGGACCAAAAAAGTAAAACTTACTTTTAAGAAAAGAATATGACGATATTTGAAATATTATTTATTCACTTTCTTTTTAGTAGAGACCATTCACGGTAATTGAGTCATTAGAGCGCTCGCTTGGTGATTGGGAGGTTGCGAGTTTAAATCTCGACAGCGACGGACCTAAATCGAAAAAAAATGGGTAGCAACTGTTCCTTCGCCATACGATCGACACTTGAAACAAAAGCAGCGCGTCCTTCGGATTCTGCCTTAAAACGGAGATCCCGTATAGGCATTTACAAGATAAAGATCCCATCACTGTTCAACGGACCTGAGAAATAAACTAAAAGGTATATGCGGACGTATATGAGTGAAAAATTATCGAATGGGACGTAAAATCAGTAAATTAATCTTTAGGTAAAAAATCAATATTTTATTTTTTTAGGAGAATCAAGAAATGAAAAGCTTAAAATAAATGCACATGTAATATGACTAAGTGGAGACATACCATAAAGGAAAGTGGTTGAAATAAAGTTTCTATGAGAATGATAAATTTAAGATCTCCTGATTTGTTTTTTTCCTGATATTTGGTTTCAGAAACGAGGCAAACGCGGACTCTTTAACATGAAATAGAGCTTTGAATGTCCTCATTATTAAATGCTTACCACTGCCTCATCAAAGGGAGCACGCGCTGTATAGAGATGGTAACAATGCCCTGCAAATGGAAACCACCCAGATGAACATGCTGAAAACAGATTAATAAATGTTGTAATTTTTTTCGTAAATTGTAAAAGGAAAAAAAATAAAGGTACAGTAATCAATGAGCTCACTTAATTATACCCTGCCTCCCATATGAATCTAATGACAGTGTCCAGTCCATGCTTTTCTATGGGAAACCGAAAATATATGTCGGATCAGAAAATAAAATAGGAGGTCACTATGGCATTATGAAACAAAGATTCCATAAAAGTTTCATCAAAATTCATTCAGTGGTATGAGATGAGGAGTTGACAAGAGATAGGTACCCCAAGGCGTAAAAGACGGACGTACAGACATCCAAATTTCAATATACCATCCCGCTTTACAAGTGGCAGTATAATAATATACTGTATTCTAGTCTCCAGAGTAAATGTTCAGCGTTTTAATACGGCATCGGGACTAAAGTATCTCCTGTGTTTAATTCAATGCTTACAAGTATATTATGTTCCGGAACAGTAGAGACGGTGATAAGTATATCCAATAATATTTAAATTTTCATACGTTCAATACTTCTGATACCTAATTGGCCATCTTAATAGAAATCTATTCATAAAGAAAAAAGTGAATATCCCAAAAATCCTGAAAGAGAAATTTCGCAGCGTATTTGTTATAAGTTTTATTACCGATTTCATTTAAATGTTTATAAATGTATTTGAAGTTGAAATTAAAAAAAGCCAGATGACTAAAAGCTTAAAGCTGCTTTAAAAATGGCAAAAAGAACTTAATAATTATTAGTAACTGTAAACAATATTCTCTTTGGAAATATGTAAGTATTCAGAATCCTTTTAGATATCGTTTATTATTTAAGGGGGATAAATAACAACCATCTTCATAATTCTTGACTTGCATAGTTTACTTCTACATCTATAATACCAAGAATGATAATAGTCTTACCGTCTGGGTCAATCCAAACGCCCCATCCCTCTACCTGCATTCCAGCATTCACTGACCGTTCAGTCAGGTGAGATATAAGGATTTTACAAGATTTAGTTATAGATTTATATAACATTCCAACACAAAGAGGTTTTTGAGTGGTACAAATATGTCCACAGTAGACGCCACTATATCCTTCGATTTGTAAAGTGTAGTGGAATGTTTTCGAAGGCAACTTATTATCAAATTGGCTATCCTTGATTAGGCCCAATTCACGAATCTCAGTAAAACAATGAATTTCATGAAAAAGTACAACTGCAATAGTACATATTGGAAAAAGGGATCCCAACATAACACGGCATGCAACCATTATATTTTCGTGCTTAACATAACTACTGAAATTTCTATCAAAATCATTCGGGGGGTCTAATTAGTTCAAAGTTCCGACTTGTCTTCTGAAGCTCCGCCCACCTTAGCTACTGTTGCTAAGTCCCACATTATGGCGATGCTGGCTGCATCATCCTCGGTGGCGACCGACAGTTTAAAGTCGATTCAATACGATTTCTGTGTGAAGTGCCTACTCAAAAGTTCAAAAATTATCAGATGAAGGTTTACAGAAGGGTTTGAATTACTTTACCCAAGGAAATATCTATAATATTCAGATATTCATTTTGGATGACTTCGTACAAGTTGCTGCAAGATGCCGGAGGTCGATGCGAAAAAATCAATCGCCGGACTCACTTAGTTTGTAAATTAAAATTAATGCGATAACGGAGTCTCAATGCTCCTTTAAAGCTGGATATGTATATATATTTCCCAAATCTTTTCCTATTTATCACGAAAATCTTGTTTTTAACAAGGTGACGTTAGGCACCTTTGTCAGGCATGATAGCATCATCATCTTTAACATAACCCTTTGACTGCATTGTTTCAAGAACATAATAAAACCCAGACTGTTCACATATTTCTTAATCTGAAATGCATACTGGTTGCAAAAATCACTGAACCATTTGAATCACAACCAATAAATGCCTTTAAAGTAGTAGTTGACTTATTTCCTTTTAACCTCCTTCTAATGCTTCAGACATCCTATCTACAAATGAATGTTTATCTCATTTTTTTAAACATGTCGTATAGTATAATTAGTTGCATAGTCTTTTAATGACATGGTACGGGATGATACCTGGTTAGTAAATTTCATACCTGGCGAGGCGGGACCGTACCCTGTCACTAAAAGACTACCGGTATGTAACGAATTTACCCCACCGATGAAATATTTACGTAAAATCTGTGGTTTATTGATGTGATTCTCTGCTACATGCTTCCTGTTACGCTTATACGGTGCCTATTATGACGTCACGCTGTATTTGTGACGTAATACATCGACTGGGCATAGATTACAACTGACCGGGTATAGATTTACAACTGACTGGGTATAAGTAACACGTGACAGACTTCAACCAATCGTAAGCCAGGATTTCACGGAAAAATCAACAGAGGTGGGTAAATCAGTATACGGACATGCAACACTAAAGAAATGATTTATCTAATTTGTCTCCCGATCCTGGGGTTGGTTTATTCCATAAATGGACTAGTCCAATAATAATAAATAACGCATTTCAACAAAGTCATGGTCTCCAGATGCATGATCTATTATATGTCTCTGTTTAGATGCACACAATAAATAAGAAACAAGTGCAAAATCTTGGATTTTTCATTCCACACAGTTCTAAGTAGTGAATTTACTTATTTCATTCTCAATCAGGGTTCTCCATGAGCTGTTTTACTGTGTTGCTCCCGACACAGTAAAATTTTCTCCGACACAATAACGATTCAAATTTTATGCTAGCGACACAGTAAAAATTTTGCCGACACAGTAAGATCTATAAATATAAACACACAAAGAACCACGAACGATAGTATTGTTCTCCCGCCTACCTCTAAGTCAATTCTCAAAAGTTACCATTTTCGAATGATTTTCGAAATTTTTTTAGATATTTAAATGAATTTTCATAAAGCGTTACTTATTTGGGATACCGAAGAGAGATAACTCTATAATTTTGGTCAAACTTGTGTTTTTCACTTTAGAAAACGGAAAATATTTTTAAAACATCTTCCCCCCCCCCGTGAAACAAAAATTCCTTTTTACAGGTAATATGGACTGTCATTTAACAAATTTATGCCAAAGCTTTTTGTGTTTCACGGGGGGGAACATATGTTTATAGACAAAAAACGGAAAAAATGCAGATTTTTCATCAATTTCAAAGCTATTTACAACTAAATAATTGTATTTTATTTATTTATATATGTTTTATTTATTTGCGTAAAACATAAGAAAAGATATGAGATACATTTTATGATATTTAAGACTATTTCAAAATATGGTAATTCTTGAAAGTTCGCTTTCACCAGAAAATATCGCCCACCCCCCTTTTTTCAAGAGCTGGAATTTATGATAATTTACTATCTAGCGCTGGAAATAAAATGATTAATCAATTACCATAGAACTGTTCTTTGTATTAAACAAAGATTTAATGGCCAAATTGCCATTAAAATTGAATTTAATGGGTGCAAAATGTAGGCGGGAATCAAAAGTTAGAGTTCGTTGTTCTTCCCTCTTACTGAAACTGTTCTACCGTCTTTCAATTTTAAAAGTTAGAGCACTTAATTACTAGGGCTTCACCTTGCATAATCAATTATCTGCTTGACCTTCGCCTGACTTTACGCATGACGGAACAAAGACAAATAATTTGTTTTCACACTTCCATGTAACGGTTAATTGGTAGTTGCTATAAAATGCATGGTATTATTTGAAAAAAATAATACATGTATTTAAATAATTATGTCTTCTTTAGAGCTACGGCTCTAGAATTATATTGGCACTGTAAGTCAAACATAACATCGTACCGAAGTCATTTAATTGATGTAAATACATTGCTTAAAATTTTAAAAAATGTTCAAGGAACTCTTTAAAATATTTTACTGTTCTGAAGTTTCTTTTTTTTTTGTAATGCCATAACTCGATCAAGAAAACTGATAAATAATCACAGCATTTTTTACAAAAATGTTAAGTAGTTTGACGGTATTGGTCAGAATTTCCTCTGCTTTCAA